GCAAGTTGTTTGTTTACGTGAAATTCGAAGATTCGCTACTCAACGATAACTGCCCTTTCAGCGCTTTTGATTAATCTTACATTTTTTTAGAATACTAACAATGAATATATTGTCAAAAAAATAACAGGAAAACAAATAAAATCAACATTCTGAGACGGGAAGTAATCGACTCCTCATAAGCTCACTGTCATAAAGAACACTGCACACGCTGCTATCGGTTGACTTCTTCAGACAACAGAGCAAAACCATATTTTTTTTTATAATTTTCAAGTTGTTCATCACTATAATTAAAATTTGAGACATAATTTATATCCCAAGTTTTTTTTCTTTAGGCAGTATTAATATGATACAGGGCAGACAGCTTTACGTCCCTGCTGAAAGAAAATCATTCTCCTGAATGTGAATTCTGTGAGCCTGGTGAGTGAGCAGAATTTACTTTTATTTGCACTGAAGTAGACCGAGGGTCAAACCCACAATCTCCCCCTGATGATGGTCAGACCATTTTGCCTTGCATCAACTTTAGAGTGTTCATTAAGGCTATACCACTGATTAAAAGGAAATGCCTCCAATATTTGTTGTTTGACATAGTGCCAGAATAGAAACTGTAGTGCACGATTCATTGCAAAAACAAAATAGTGAAAAAACAAATGCACGTAAACGCAGGACTTGCCTATACTTCATGTAATTTGCGAAGCATTATCTTTTCACTGATCACTGCAATTTTTATATTACAATAAACTGCAACTATTGTTTTTATAAAATATTTAAACATGCTCAACATAAATATTGCCCTACTATATTTGAAATTGCATTAATGACCTAGTAATAACAGAGGCTTTATTAGTGAAAACCACAAGTTTTGTCATTGAAATTGCTGGATGTTGTAAAATTAAAAAAATTACCACACACTTTGCTTCAAAATATTGCTGATTACCGATACTGTTTACAGTCGAGACATATTTACACTTAGAAATAATTTAAATACGTCATGCCACGCACATACTGTATTCTACAATTTCTGCAGGTGACATGTCCACAATGACATACAACAGAATGAATTTACTGCAGAGTGTGATCCATTCATACCTTATATATCATTAATCCCACAATTTCTTGGAATTTCTGATTTTTTTGGAAGTACTCGTATATCTTAGATGATTAAAAAAAAACATTTATTCAACTTTATAAACAAAAAGCTTTATTAGGAATTGACAGCAGGCATTACAAGCATGACCATCGACGAGTACACCAAATTATAAACTACAAGACAGTGGGAAAATAATAGATGCATTGCAAGGTACAATGAGTCCCACATCACATGAGTTTATGTGTATTGTTCTGTTTTGGTGGCTATATTTCAGTAACGATAATCATTCAATCATTGATAGTACAAAATACAAATAATTTGTACAATCAAGCAGTTCCCTTTTCACTTCTTAGAAGCTGTTGATTTTTCTTTCTCTTTTTTGTCCTTTTTATCTTTGTCATCTTTCTTATCCTTTTTATCTTTGTCCTTGTCTTTGTCATCTGGTTTCTTTTGTCCTTCCTGTTTCTCCGCATCTCTGTTCTGAATCTTGTTGTTGATCAAGTTGTGCAGGGCGATTATAGATCGTATCAGAGCCGCTAAATACACCACTAGCATCTGGTCGTTTGTTTTAACTAAGAAAGCTTTGACGAATTCAGAGAAATTCACATCAGGAAGAAGGTTAAAAATGTCCTGTAGTTGGTAAATGATCTGGTGATTAACTGGCAGCTTTCCTTGTGCCACCTGTTCTAGGTATTGGTGGATGTCTTGAATGTGAGCATGAAGGCCTTTCAGGCCCATCAGCTGGTTGGTGATGCGTTGAGATAGTGTTCCAACAGTTGTGTCTTTAATGTCCCTGTAAATAATATTTTAAATTTAATATTTGATTAAAGATGCATTTTAAAATTTAACTTTCATCGGTGTTCAGAGAAGTATGTCCCAAATGTTAATGTTTCAATGATTTTAAACACAAGTTTGGCTACCCCTTTTTTAAAAACTCAATGAAACCTTTTACTCAGAAAAATATATGTGTAGTGCCATATTTGTTTCTGCAATTTTGCTAGTTAGTAACATTAATACTATCCACATAGACTATGGGAACAGGCAAACTATTAAAAAAACTTACTTCCAGAGAAAAGAGCAAACTAGAACTCAACTCACCTTAGAAGATGTTCAACACCAACTTCTTCAGCTTCTTCAGCTCCCATTTCACTAGGGATGTGTTCAAAGGTTTTGGAAGTAGGCGTACCATCCTAGTGTCAGCAAACAAACAATATATGAATAAATTTAACCCTACAATTTATAAAAAAACTAGCATGACATCTGACAAGATTCCAATCTTGACGAACAAGCAAAATGTAAAAAACTTAAATGTTGCTGTGATGTAATTTGTGACCAGGTTTACATACCACCTTCAATTAGTTTGAACATGTAGTCTTTATAGTGAACAAGTAAAAGTGCTAAATGTCATGAAATGATGGGTAATTTATACACCAATCAATGTATGATTCATTAAATGAGATGCAATATAACATGTCCTGCTAACAAAATATTTTGATTTCATTTCAGAAAACCAGGAACAAAATAGATTGCCTAATTTCATTCCTTGGTGAGAAAATTTGAAGAAGAAAAAATGAGAGAATTCTGCTGGCAATGTAGCTTGTTTTAATGACTTACATCATGCACTTCCTCTACAGCCACATATGCTTCTGTTGGTAAACCTAAATCTTTGGGTTTTGCATCAATAATAGCTAGAACCTGAAAGAAATAATACAAAGTGCTTTAATTCTCACCACAAACTGAGTCTTATATATCATGTACTATAAGGTCTACAATTACGGTGAAATACATTATGGGAGAGAAATTCACATTTATCGAAATGACACTGCAAATTCAGGATTCATATAAATATATATATAGCAGGCCAAATATTTTCACCATGCAAGTACACGTACATGTAGATGGAATGGAATTAAAAATGTCATATATTCAGTGCTAAAATTATTTTCTCTGATCTGAGAAACATTACTGTTATTAAAAAATAATAAGACACTACAGTGGGTTAAAATTGTTTTTTTAATTTCTACTAGATGAGATCATACTATGAAAATACTTTCAGCAACACTTGTGTTATGTACTTACAGAATTTGGACAATAACCCCGAATAATTTCATTGATTGCAATATCATTTCTATGCAACTTGGGACCAGTATGATACCATCCAACAATCTTTTCACGAGCTAAAAAAAAAAAAAAAAAAATGTTATAGCAAAACTTGAAAATATTAACCATTTAAGAGTTTCTAAAAAATAATTTTAGTAACGCAGCTTCATATACTGAGTTTAATGTACAAAAATGTGTATCCCAAGTATTTCCCGTCAGTTGTAAAATGCAGTAATTTGAAACTTTTTTCTTAAAATTTAGTGAAAGTCTCCTAAAAAATCAGTAAAAATATAGAGAAAGCCGAGACATAACACTTCCACCAAGTAAAATATTGAAAGACACCTATGATAAAAAGTAGTGAAATAACTATGAAATACACCACATAGCTGAAAAGGGCATACCTGGTACTAATTTCTGGGAAAGTAATTACTGGCATAATACAAGTAAAGTTCAGTCATTTAGTGCTTTAGCCACTGAAATATTACACAAAATACATTTTCAAGGTTTGCTGTTTTTGTTTGCTTCAAAAGTTTAGTATAGTATACTAAATAAAGTAAGTATAGAAAACAAAAATATTTACCATTGACTTTCTTGAACATCCCAGACATGTTTTCCAAGTAGTCATGGTCTAGAAAATATACTGCATTGTCTTTTTCATCTTCATCGAAGGGAACTGTGGATGAACATGAATACAATTTAATATAACACTGTGATGGTACTTGAAAGTACGAGGCACATTTCTGATAGAAGTTGGTAAAATCAAAAGATGGTATGACTGCTGTAACTCTTAAAAGAACAGATGTAGATACAATGGTTTTACAATCTGTGTGTGCCATGAGACAAATACAGATGATTTTGCAGCAAATATAGATGAATGCACTGACAGCACACAGCTTGGTCGAAGATTGGACACTGCATATTTGATGACATTGCAAGGTTTGAACTCTACAGAGGCATTGAAGACATTTGCCCTAATGCCCAATGAACTTGCCGTTCTGCCCTTTGATATTCCCTGTATCATTCCTTCATGTTATAGCCATGATACACACAACAAAAGTTGCAGCTTGTTGATCAAAATTATCGTAGTCTTAAGACTATTTTATAAACTTTGGGCACTGAATACAGGGTCATCTTATTATACATATAAATGGACTGCAAATTCCATGTAAGATGTTCTTGGCACATCAAAGACATTCCTCCTTCTTT